GATTGATTTGATTTGATTGATTTGATTTGATTGATTTGATTTGATTGATTTGATTTGATTGATTTGATTTGATTGATTTGATTTGATTGATTTGATTTGATTGATTTGATTTGATTGATTTGATTTGATTGATTTGATTGGATGCACTTATTATTTTCATGGTCCTTAACTTTGGGGCTGAAAGACATGTCAGATTGGGACATGGACGATGTAGATTAAAGCTAGCCCTATGCCGTCCATTTCAGTTTCAAAGAAAACCACCTCAAAATTCTGCTATTCAAATACTTTTTGCACTCAAACAAGCTCCTCTCAGGTTAGGTTGCCATGGATCATAAGCTGGAAATTGGCCATGAGGAAGACATCACGCCCTCTAGAGACTCTATTCAACAAAATGTACCCTTTGACAAAGAGCCTGTGCATCATGACCCTCATGGATTTCCTGTTATTCCACAGCCTTCATCCCATAAGGATGATCCATTGGTACCTGAAACCTATTTCCCTGTGTTTTTACCAGGGCTAACGTTCGATAGAATTGGAGCCCTGCGCTCAAATTGAGTGTCTGTCTTCAGATTAGTTGGCTCGCTCTACTAGAGCCACTGGCATCCGCTGTCGTGAATCCTACTTTTCTTCTGATGGGAAAAACATTTGGGTTAACCGTTAAGGAGGTTAGCTATGGTGAGGGTCATCACGTCAAATTGCGTTTAGCCTTCCTTCTTCGTATAAATGCTAATTCCGATGATCAACAGAGCTAACAGTATGGCTTGTCTGTGCGGGCTTCGGGCCCTTGGTTGTGGTTCCTTTTGCCAATGCATATGGTCGTCGACCTGTGTACCTGATAGGTAATCTTCTTGCAGCAATCGCAAGTATTACAGCAGGGTATTGTGATACATGGGCAGGTATAATGATCACCCGTGCATTCAATGGCTTTGGTTCAGGTGCTGTGATATCAATGGGTGCAGCAACAATATGTGACCTGTACTTCGTCCATCAACGAGGTGTTTACATCGGAATATATACACTTGCGTTGACCAGTGGGGCACACGTACGAATATTCACTCATCTTATATCATCTATATACACCTCTAATCTATCTATCTAGGTTGCTCCACTTTTGGGGGGGCTTCATCGGACAATCGCTTGGATGGCGAGCATGTTTCTACATCCCGGGCTACATACAACTAGGGACATTCGTGTTAACCCTATTTTGCCTACCCGAAACACTTTACAGCAAAAAGACTCCATCCGAATCAACTCCCTACCTGGAGCAAACCTATATGCAAAACATTATGTTTCTACGGAGCAAAGTTCCAGGAGGCCGACCGAAGATACAAGATTTCACTCGCCCATTCAAGATGCTGAGGTTTGTGGCTATTCTAATCCCAGCTACATTGTATATGGCCTGCTTTGGTTACGGTACTGTTCTTTTCGCTCTTACAGGAGCCAGCCTCTTCACAAAGCTTTACGGATTTACTACTGCTGAAACGGGGCTCATTCTGAGCATACCTCTGTTGATTGGGGGAGGAATTGGCGAGCTCAGCGCGGGATGGGTAACGGATTGGCTTTCAAATCGCCATGCACAGAGGCACAACGGCGAGCGTCTCCCTGAATCTAGATTAACTGCTATCTGGGGTGCATTGTTAATTCCGATTGGGCTTATCATCGAGGGTGTCTGCCTTTCGCATGCGGACACCGTCAGTTGGGTTGGCAGTGCATTTGGCATGGGCATAGCAAACATGGGCCTGCAAATAGCTACTACAACCATATATGCTTATACGACTGATGTGAGTCAAATATTCTCTTGGGGTAAAAGCTTCGCTCTGACAAGATACTTGACCACAGTGTTACAGACCCCAAAGTGCAGAGGTATCCACGATTCTGAATATATTTCGGCAGATATTCTCGTGTCTTATCTCTTTCTACGCGTTAGTATGCCATTGGAATGTTATGGATACACACTAATGAATTCCAATTTAGTCTTCCATTTGCCGAGCGCATTGGGATCCAATTTGCTTGGCTCACTTTTGCTATGGTTGTTGTGGTCCTCCTTGTTCCTGTAATTCTGCTACGGTCTTCTGGTTCAAAATGGAGAAAGCTTCGCTCCCAGTCGCCTCTAAATACGGAAACTTAGGATTTATACTTTATAAGTCACTAGACTTGTCAAGATATGTTCCAAGGCTATTCATTGTGAAAATAACTCAATACCAACCCGTCTTCCATATCATCAGTTGATATCCCTGGTTATATCTAGAAAGATCCACTTAATTTATCCCTTTAACCGCTTTTGCCCACATCTAGAAAGACTAACAAAGATCACCAAAAAGACATGACAAGGCATTTTCGATATGTAAACACGATGTATTATTCTCTAAGGCTGGCTAAGTAGCTTGCGAGCGGGGTCGTTTAGGGCAAGACCATTTTTTAAGTTCAACTAGAGATCAAATTGGTTTTTGTTAGATCCTTCGAGTACTCGGCCTCCGCTCTGAGGGCGGTGCCCGTAGCGGTGTCCGAGCTGTGAAAAGTCGATATAACCAAAGACTCAGCATTATGGTTTGTATTGGCCGAATGAGTCAAAATTAAGGGAATCAATAGATAATCAAGGACAATAGAAAAATTGTATTGACAAAAATGAAAAATAAAGAAAGAAAAGAAGACAAAATGCGGGAGGAGAAGCTGCTGGTAATGGCTATCAATAGCTACCTCAATCGGTTTGATCCAAATGTTGAGAGACGCAGTAGACAAAGAGTGGGTAGATACATCAACAGTAGTAGATGAGTGATAATTATGGAAAAAAGAATTCCGAACTCGAAAGGACTGCCGGTCAATATTTCACGAGGCCCTCCCCCATGTTGGTTTAGTAAGTATAATGTGCACATATGTATCTCCCGATGACCCCTTTCGCCATTTGAGGACGAAGATCAGATATGTTGCCAAGACAGCCATCGTGTGATTGAACAAGATGAACCCAATGAAGATCCCTACATTGTGGCCTCTCTGCGCATAACTGAAGTCGTATTGTTTGACCTGTGGGGGATTTCCATTGTCAGCGGGGTCTAATGTCAAAGGAGTTCTGGAAAGAGAAGACAGGAAAAACAGGGACTACAGAGGGCAGATCGTGACAATTGTAAAGTATCATTAGAAACGAAGATGTATAGGTCTAGAGGGGCCGAGATACTTATAAAAAGCGAGAGAGAGGAATAAAGAAAGGATAACGGCCAAGGCCAGGGTGAACCTGGATCACTGCTGGGCCCGGAAGGGCTCCCAATACGAGGATCGGCAACGCAGGCGTGCTATCATTACACCACCTTGGTTAATCTGAGGGGATCAGGCAAGATCGATGGTGATAGCCTCGACAGAGAACATAACTATACTCTAGGGCTAGGTGATGATTGCTTACCACTACTAGTACTGACGAAAAACAATACAAAATTGAAACTGACAGGCAAAGAAAGAAAAAACCACCCGCTATACAGTGAACCACTTCTTGTTTCATTCTTGATCTTGTTCGAATTGCACCTCCCACACCATGGATGCGAACTCGATAAGTTCTTGTGTCCCAATGACTATATCACGTTCTCTGTTGATTTGTGCGGGGCGTCGAAAAAGAGATTCAAAAGGGATCACCAGCTGAGGTAGAGGATGATGGGGATCAAAGTAGACTGCACCATCAGATTTCCTACTAATGGTTAAGTGAGTCCTGTTGATAGGGCGGGAGGTTTGGGAGCTCCATTCCCACTGGTCGATCGTGATCTCGGGCCTTTTTGTATGGAGATTGACTCCGATAGCTACATTGGCCTGCTGTCTTTCTGGATCTATCCAGTACTGAGCATCACGGCGGAGCTTGGCGTAAGTATCCGAATTGGCGACCTCCAAAATGATCGTGGGTCTCCTAGGAGCGTTTTGGGGGGGTCTTCGTGGACCCCACCCCCCGTCTGCCTGCTTCCTTGTGCCATCTATGGCAAGCATCCCTGTGCTTCCCCAGGATTGAATTGGTTTATGCAGGCCCATTGGCTCAAGGGCCAGTATAAGCATGTCGTTGAAAGCCGTTGTGGCTTGTTCGTGCGCCGGGCCGAGCATTTTGACGATAAGGATCTTTGTTTTCGGATTAAAGAATATATTGGTACGAACAGGAGGATCCGAGTTGATGAAGTCGTGCTCGAAAGTCGTAGGTTCAATAAAGAAGATAAGGTGTTCGCTGTGGTCTTCTTTCTCGGGGCTATAATTTTCGTCTGGCGTATTCTTAGTGTTGTCTCTCTCACCAAGGATATTCTGACGATTACAGTTATCCACATGTCCACTGCGGAGGAAAGTGCGAATGCGCATTGGCTTTTGCGCCCAGCCGAATTGAAGGGTGCCTTCCGTCTGTGGCAGCGTGCTCGAATGGTCTTTGAGTCCTTCCCAACTTGCACCGCTCGCCCGCGCCTTCGCCTTTCGTCCAATGCGGAAAGGACCATAGAGACGATCATCCTCAAGCGAGATGATGTGGCAGAAATCGTGCATACCACTGTAGCGATATGCTTTGACCGAAGGAGGTAATTCTTCAATATCCTGCCGGCCATGTTCGATGGCGCTATCATTAAACTCGAACATCTTTGTTTTTAGAGAAGAGCTCGGCTGATATAAAGCTCGAGGATAATGTGGTTTATAGAACTGGCAAGAAACCGTCCTTTAAGGCATTAACAATAAAGCTACCTCATTATGACTGTACTGTGTCGTAGTATCTCGTCGGTTTACATTGGTCCGGGAGAGGAACATGGACTGTACGCGATTGGGCGATGGGAGAATTATAGATAGTGTGAGTAGGATGCGACCGCACTAACCTGCCCAGGTAAACTAGAATGTATATAGAGAAAATGAATGGAAATGAGACCATGGACTGAAATAAGCTGGAGAAAGAGCGAGAGGAATAGAGATCAACCCTAGAGTAGCAACGTCCTACACTCGCCGAGTCACGGAAATCCATCCCACTGAACAATTACCAGTCATTTGCCTTCCCCGTTTTCTTACCATTCCATTTCTAGGATGCCCTCCACTTCCAGCCTCGCCTCGCCATCCCTTTCAAAGCTCGTCCCTACCACATCCCCAAGGCTAATCTTCTCTCGTGGTGCGCTAGGCTCAAGTGAACCGTCGACATGGGTGACGCTCAGCCTGTCGAGCTACTCACCGGTGAGTACATCCAGCCAACGGCTGGTAAGCCACACACAGTCGAAAAATACTTCCCCCAAAGGGGGCCAGTCTCGCGCAGTTACTCTATTCCGCAACCTAGCTGTCGACGGCCCACTCAAAGTCATACATTGACGTCGCAGCCAGCGCTTATGCCGCGGACCAAAGCCTCCAAAACACTCCCACAAACCACGCAACAAGGGCTACGCACAGTTCCCCAATTGCTTCTCCCAGACATCGGAGCACCCATAAAGGCATCATGGTTGAGCATGCGCCGGTGGACAATCTCTATGGCTTTCAAAGCATGTCGAAGAGCTGTTGTCGCATGAATGTCAGCCCCCGGGCTGCGTTGAGGAACTAGGCCAAGACTAGGAAATTGTATGAACGGGCGGTGAAACCAAATAATCAGATCATGAAATTGAAGCTCGAGAAGTGTTTGTTGCAAGATGCGAGTGGGTGATTGATGTAACATCCGTCTATCGTCATGTTTCAGTCCTTCCGAGGCAGTGTGTGTTTGAGGTCGATTGACGCTCCCGACAAGCACCAAGTCTTTGAATGGCTCTGTTTTCACGATACGATTCTTCCACTCATATAAATTAGTGATCTCGTCAGTGAGATGCTCAGCGGAATGTTCAATTTGTGCAACGGAATCGTCGGTAGTAATTGTATCGAGCCGAGCCGTCAAGGATTCGGCAACCTTTTTGCCAACGACTGTCAGCGTGATAGTTGCGAAGTGAAAGACCAGCTCTGAAGAGGCTGGGTCAGAGGAGGGATTATCTTTTGGGATGGCAAGTGTAGTGTCTCTTAGGGGGACAATAATAGGTTTACCAAGGTATCGCGAGCAGCGAAAGTCGAGGTGAAGCAACATCCACCACAACCAACCACAGATCTCAGCCTCTTTAGAACCAACATGAGATGCTAGAGGATTCTGCAGGTCGAGCGACTGCGCAAGTCGAATACCCATCCCCATAATATTATATGCGGCGAAGACTTCCCCAGAATTCAGCAGAAACAGGGCCACCAGAATGTGACGTTGAACATCTGACACAGATGGTTCCGCATATAGGAGAAAATTACTATTTGTCGCCAATGCTTTTTGCAAATAGGCAGCAAACAAAGGCACGAGAGGGCTCTGATGTTTTTCGGAAGAACATTCTTGGGCCTCAATTAGAGTTGCATTGACACCTAGGAGACGATGATGTAGTCCAGCATGATAGACTGATTGCAAGCAGTATGGTATCAGTGCGTCTCGCAAAGTCTGCTGCCTTCGACCTGGCTCAAGATCCAATACGTCTTCTTGGGTCACAATGGGTGCTAAGTACTGATAACGAACCCAAAATATATCCAGTAGCCTTTGTTCAAGGTCTTGCGAGCTGGACATGCTCGATTGCGGAAAGCTCTGCTCTGCATTTTGAAGCAAATCCGCAGTGGAATAAGAAACCTCCGACGAGAGTGATTCGTCAGACACTAGAGATGATTGTGTTGACATCTGTGACACGACAGAACAAAAGGTATTGATCCGCGAGATAGCGAGATAAATCCCGTGAGACAGTCCGGGTAGCCGGCAACTACGTGGGTCGAGTCCCGTTGTGAACGGACCGGGGGGTGGGCGGCCTCACTTGCTGGAGAGGTGGAGTACATGGGGGCAGAGATGGGCGGATATGCTCAGCTCCAGCGGAGCGAGGCGGCGATGGGAGTTGCGAGGCCCTGGGTTTAACGCACTATGAACATGGCAGTGTGCCATCGCATCGAACGCGATGTTGGCGACAGAAGTCACATGCCCGGCGCACTTTTCGTCGCTTGATCAAGGGACCTGATCGCGGCGGTACAAAATTGTAAAGCATGAATAAGAGTGGGCTTATTCTAATTATGGTTGTGTGTGGAGGCTTCGCATCGATGGTAGGAATGGATATTGTATTGACGTGATACTAGATCATGGATGGATGCCCTTTGCGGCAATACCTACAGGTAGGTCCACTTTCTCTAATAATCTGCCAATATGATATCGAGGAAGCAGTGACCAATCGGAAATCCAGTAATGACCAAAAGCCCCCTTGGCATGTGATACTGATACAAAAGTCCAGCCCTTCCAGCGAGAGTAGTAATAATAAGAGTGGTACTCTACTATATGGGTACTATAAGAAGACTAACTATTAAGAAGCTACCTACTATAAAAAGTAGTATAACCAAGCGGTAAAGACGTTGTCTGCTTTGTATTGTGAATGCAAGGAGCATGTAAGATATTATTCCTCGTCGGCCCTACCTGTTGCTTAACCATACAAGTCTCATATTGTTGGGTGCCGGGCTTACTGTCGGCATCCAAAGCTAAAGATCAACAACGCAAGCCTCGGAATGTTTTTTGTGTGACCTTAAGACGCCAGGTTGATACCTCGGGTATCAAATCCCTCGTTGAGTACAGAGTCGGAAGCAATTGTCTGTCTCACTGCTCCCTTCTTGAGTCCCTATTAGGTTGAGCTCATCGGCATTCAAGCTGCCTTTCGCCAATAGCGGCATGACAAGCTACAACGGGGTCTCAGTGCTTTATGGGGTTACACATCGCTCGTGGTCAACACACATTTTCTACTCGGGGACAACATGTGAGGTAACGCAGCATTAATTGCCTCAAAGTTAGGGAAATCTTTCCCAGAAAGGTGAGATGCGTGACCGACTACACTCGACGCACCATATAATGTTGCAAAGATCGGCAAATGTCTTGCGAATGTATGAAGATCGGATTGTGGGATCTGTAGACATTTCCTAATTCAAGTATGCCGCGACCTACAAAAAGTGTGCCTAATTTACACTTCCTCTAGCGCTAATAATACAATTGGAATAACATAAAGTCAAAATCATTCCGCCTCTTCCTGTCTTTTTCTAAATTTTCATGTCCACACATTAAACCCAAAGTTATTTACGCGAAAGATGGCGCCTCTCACATTCGACATATTCGGGTACCTACTCTTGCTGGTATATATACTGCTTGCGTATAAAGGCACCAAGGTTATTTATCGCCTATACTTCTCTCCATTAGCCGGGTTTCCAGGTCCACGCTTGGCAGCAGCAACCAGTCTCTATGAGTTTTATTTCGATGTTCTGAAAGGAGGTCAGTTCATGTTCGAGCTTGACCGTTTACACGACAAATACGGTCCCGTCCTCCGCATCAATCCACACGAGATACATATCAGAGACCCCAGCTATTACGATACTGTCTACGGCGGGCCATTAAATAAAAAAGACAGATTGCCTTCGTTTACTCAAACCGGATTGCCCCTGTCAAGCTTCGAGACTGCGCCACATGGTCTTCATCGTGAGCGGAGGAAATTATTGAGTCCTTTCCTTTCAACGCAATCAGTTACAGCTCTCCAGCCTGTCATTCAAGAAAAGGTGGATCTAGTTTGTGGCCACATGTCGAGAAGGATTGGCACCGGAGAATTTTTCGACTTGCACTCTCTCTTTGCTTCTTTCGCCGCTGACGTGCTGTCTGCATATGTGTTTGGCCCCGCGAATTGTTATGCATACTTGGACAGAGTGGAGGTAACAGATGAATGGAAAAGAAATGTTAACAGCCTCTTTGAGACGCTGATTCTTATCAGGCATCTACCATTCCTATACAGCCTAGCATACAAGATTCCTACCATTGCCTCCTGGGTGTTTCCCCCTTTTTCTTGGATTCATCCATTCACTGGGGTACGTGTGGTCATTATTTGGCACGTTGGAATGTGCTTATCAAGGATAGAAAATCAACCGAAGTGTGGAAGTTGCGCATGCAAAACCGGAAGGGAAATCGATAATACCAACTATTCTCTCCAACGAGAAAGTACCTGACCACGAAAAAGACTTGAAACGCCTGCAAGACGAACTGTCGTTTTTAATAATTGCCGGGTCAGATGCACCGTCGCAAGTGATGGCAATCACTGTTTTTCATCTCCTTTGGAATCCAGAGACATACCAAAAACTCAAAGACGAGTTAGATGAGGCTTTCCCCGTTCTATCCGAGGCAGACTGGACTAAGCTAAAAGGCCTTCCCTATCTGGTAAGCCGACATAAATTTTCTCATGCTTTTGTAAATTTTGCTAACAATAGCCCCGCAAGTCTGCTGTGTTGAAAGAGGGTCTACGCCTTTCAGCCGTTGTGACAACGAGGCTTCCGCGTATTGCACCAGATGAAGCTTTACAGCACGGAAAATGGACTATTCCGCCCGGGGTATGTCTTCCCTAGAATTTAATTCCCTTTACTTGGTCCCACAATCCTGTTGCTTTATTAATATGTGAATGTAGACGCCTGTCGGCATGTCCACCCATACCATTCTACGAAACCCCGAAATCTATACCGAGCCGATGAAATTCATTCCAGAACGCTGGATGGGCCCTGCTGAGGAAGTCCGTGCACTGGATAGATTCTTCGTTCCGTTTGCGAAGGGCAATTCAAGTTGTATGGGTCAAAGGTACGTAGCTTCTAGTTCATTCACCAGTTCCAGACCGGTGGCACTGATATATGATAGCATGACCTACTCGTGGCTTTACGCAGTGATAGGCACCGTGGTACGCAAGTTCCAACTAGAGCTTCACGAAACTGACGAGAAGAGTGTTGAAATTTCTCGAGACTGTTTTAATGGACAGACAGTTCCTGGGCTCAATTTGATCAATGTCAAAGTCACCAAGGAGTTCAACTAGAATGTTCTGCTACCATGTGAATAGTTATTTGGTCTTTATTTCGGCTATATCTAGACTGCTTTCTTTGCATCATCTCGGTTTAACATCTGCTTTTCTTCCCCCGGGCACTTAGAATCTCAAATAATTTACGCCTTTCTCATACTAAACTCTTGCTTTCAATCTTATTTACATCATTATGCTTTGTTTTAAAAAAGAATGGATGGGAATAGCATGGAACAAAGACTACGACATGCATTACTCGGTTCTCATGATAGAATTACTAAACTTTCGGACAGAGTAGAAAGGAAAACTCAAATTCAATATAATAAGAACCAACTAAATAAGACTTACCTTAAATCAATAACTCACTCACGTTGTTGTCAGGCCCTAATCCCTAGGCCCAAAAACATAACTCCGATCAATAGAAAGGCGTCCGGCAGCAATCTCCATCCGGTAGTGCTCAGCAAGTCCTATAACCATAACAATCCAGCCCTGCTGGGCAAGGTCCTTGTCAGGGTTCATAACCGGGAACGAGATATAAAGGGATTGCTGATGATGCAAGGCATCATGGTGGGTGACCTCGCAGTCTCCAGCATGGCAACGCTCAGCCACAACATCCATCAACTCTTCATCGGCCAAGAGACGGTCCTCGGTGGTAAGCTTCACGGATACCCACCACAATTCAGGCAGGGTGCTGAGGTTCTCGTAGTGAGGCTGTTTGTCCGAAAGGAAGATGGTACGAGTGTTCTTCAAGGCTTCCCGGCGTTCTGAATCCATGGCATCGAGGGTCGCAGTAGCTTCGATCTAAATATACTCAGCTTTGGGGGGAGTTGGGGTTTGGTTTGATCTTGATGAACCTATGATGGAGAAGTGCTTTCCTATCTGATGTTATAGATTTAACGGGGGATTCCGAGGCTATTTAAATACGAAGCAGGGGGACAATGAACAGTTCTATCGAGAGGCCGTCTTTGACCTAGTTGAGAACAAACCCTTTTAAACCCCTGGAGGTTGTTACAATGCCTTTTGTCCATCCTTTGACTAGATACAAAATCTAGATATTAAGTATAATGAACAAAGCCTCGAATCGTAGATAAGATTAGACTGTATTAGAATGGCCTTTTTTCTATAAAAAAAGAAAAATTATGGTTAGAAACGTGCTTCACCAGCCTAGATCATTGTCAATCAGTTGCATTATGGCTATCTCGGCGGGCCATACTTGGACAAATTCCTGAACTCGCCAGGACAGTCTTCTTCCCACTCGAAAATAAGGGGATAAGATGCACAAAATCATTCCCAGAAGTCAGGAAACCAACCGGCATTCTCCCAATCGACCAGTACGATGTCAAATGATCGCCCACCTTGATCATCTGGGCGACTTGTATTCTCCACGACCATAATGTTCTTCTGCTGAACATCCCCATGCGTGAATGTGGGCCGGTGACCTTGAAGGACGCGAGCGAAGTATTTTTTTGTAAAAGCGAGTCTTGTGGTCTGACCGACTATTGCGTTCGACCAAGGCTCTATAATTACCGACAAGGCCCGCAACGACGGCAGGTTCTCCATAAAAAGGCCCCAGAAATTTCCGATAGCCAAATTAGCTCGCCACCTCTTTCCAGGCCTCCGGAAAAGCCAGGCAATGGACACTCAGCTATTTGCATTGCGTCGAAACGATATCTTGTCACTATCTTGGAGGCCATGGTCTCTCACAGAACATTGGCGCAGGCGCGGATTATCTGTTGTAAGTAGAATAGGCAGAGGCTGGGAGTTCTGGAGGGGGACAGCTCCTGGTTTCCACATCATGAACAGAGCAGGAGTCGATGGAGATAATATCGGAATGTGGATGGATGGTGACCTGAATGGAAGGAAAATGAGCGGCGAAGCAAAATCAGTTACAAAATTACGGAGTACCCATAACTACAAAGCGACATAACAGGGGTTCATTAATCGTGTGCTTGAATACTGAAGTAGGGGCTCATCCGCCGAAGAAACCCCGATGCCTCATTTTAATGGATGTTCAATAAGCCGAGGCCTCTACAAAGCTTCCAATACTGCCCATTATTCAACATAGTTGGCAGGGAAAGGTCCCTTCTGCCCTCGTAACTCGCCTTCCCACCAATCGTCCGTGCTATCTGTCTTCCGCACGACACGAATGCGGTCCCCTTCCCGGAAACTTAGATCACCACTCCCCTCGCCATCAAAGTCATACAGCGCCGTGACAAACACGGGACGGGAAGCTGCCGGTGGTGGTGGCGGCGGGGGTCTCTTCTTCCCTATGGCGGCAGCCATGGGTGATACCTTGGCCTGGAAAGAGTCTATATTTGGGCCGGCGGGTGATCTCGACACGCCTGATGGAATGGGAGTGGCTTGTGGAGTTGGCAAGAATGTCGGACGAGGGGGGTCGAAGTAGTCGCCGCCCGTCGAGAGGGGCTTGGACCCTGCGGTGTTTCCAACAGGAATTGGGCTGCTCTTATGGCTAATTGTTGACAGGGGCGGAGAGGGAGGATATTCTGGTACACAGGGTGTCTGGCTCGACGATCCTGGTGTCTGTGATCCCCGGCGGAAAGAAGCTGAGAGCGAATTCGATGAGGCAGCGCTGTGAAGGCGATTTCCAATTGAGGGGCGTTTCCTAACCTCCTGGTCGGCCGCAGCTCGACGCATGGCCTTGCCTTGGGTCAGAGAACCGAAAGTTTCTATTTCGCCTTGAACGGGTTTGAAGGCAAACTCCCAGTCTTGAACAACTTGTTCCATAGCTGCTGGTGGGGAGGGGAATCCCTCTTCTTCACAGTAAGTGTGAAGCACTGTGTAATAGTTGGCAAGCATGCTGTTTTGGATCTCGACCTGTGCTTCAAGGATGTATGGCGTCAGGGAGAATATGAGAGCGATCAATGTTGGGAGTCGCTGTCGTAGATCATGGTCGGCAGCTTGGTAAGCCTAGATCGCGATTAGTATTTCCTGTTCTATGAGTAGTTCTTGAGCATTAGGATTTGTACCTCTTTCGCATTGGCAAGTTCGATTTCTGCTTTGGCTAAGCTCACATTTTCGCGATCGGTGCGCTTGAGCTTTTTCATGAGGCTATCAACACGTCCTTGTGAGATTTCAAAGTCGGTCTAGAAATTGGGAGATCAGCGAAACTAATCCACTAAGGGCTCTCATTCTTCATTGGATACCTTCTTGTTATTTCGCTTTTTGATCGTCTTTTTCATCGGCGCAAGGGATTCCTTCGCTTGCGCAGCCGGTTGGGACATGCGAGTATCGACAGCGCCGAGTTCATTCACAAGATCGGTGCGTAGGTCATCGTATTCCTTCCGCAGTCGATTTGTCCGAGCTAATCTCTCGGGGTCTGTATCCACAGCTTTATGATTTGATGGGGTTTCCGAAGAGCCAATGATAGGACCATAAAGGCCGTCGAACTCATCGACAAGGCGACTCTGGTGAGTGGCGATAGAGACCCAAGAATCGCGCCAGGCCTGGGTAGATTCCACGATCTGATCAAATAACACGTATCAGGAAATGCGGCAGAACGCGCGTCATCGGGGTAACATTGTCTACCTTGCCTAGGAGCATATCTGCGTCATCGAAATCTTTCAGAAGCACAGCAATTTGGCTGTCATCTGCAGACGACTTCGTCGTCAAGCGACCAAAGCGCCTCGACATGTTCTGCATGTTGGGCGATGAGGGAGCTCTCAAAAGCTCTCGGGGAGCATGAAATATGGAAAGAGGAGTGATAACAAAACGTGTCGTACACGAGAGCAGGATTTGAAACAGGAATAAACCTTAATTCAATCAATCTTAATTTCCAATGTAAATGTAAAGTGATGTGGAAGGAACATTGGAAGAAACGTTGGAAGGGGGCTTAACGTCCCCCTCATGACACATAACTCGGCCCCAAAGTGTTTCAGCCTTTCATGCGGCTCTCGCACCACGGCCCCCTCTCCCCCTCCATACATTTTAGGAAAGTGGTACGTCAATCACCGCTCTGAGCCCCTTATCCACTCTACGAGTATGTTGTAGTTAATCATCTTAAATCAGGGGTAATGGCCATCTTATCCCATATGTACATCAATACTGAGTACGGAGTACATGGGGCCATGACAGGGATATAGGTATAATACCTGAGAGGTCATCAAATTATAATACAACGGTTGTATACTCCGTACAACAGAAGTATAAAGAAGATGTAAATTGAAATTGATCTTGAAATTGATAAATCCGTGGATGAATGAACTTAACCTGCTGATATCAGAACTCTATCTGCTCTCACGTGATCCACATCCACATCTACATCTACATCGTATGTGGTATATTGCAGGGCAACTCTTGCTCTTCAAAGGTTTCATAGTTATATAATTAATTAGGCAACAGTGAGCGGGCCAGAAACGGCCATCTTCCATTCTGGGCATGGCGCCCTCAACCTCGTGCCCGTTTTGGTTTAGCCTCTCGGCCATTTGTCCCGGCTAACTATAGAACACCGTTCACCCTACCCTTTGCGGACGACTTATAGAACAAATCTCCACCTTTATTACTTAGAATTGGGATTATTTAGTATATAAGATAGATTCAGACGACCTAATGTGCTCGGTTGTAGCAAATGGGAAAAGTTGTGACTCATCTTTAACTTCGATGTCAGACTAGGATATGGCCCCTCTAGGCCCTAAACAGATATCTTGCTTTGGTCATGGTCTAGTGGTAAAATAGCCTGTATTTTTCCCACATTCAATCTCGGTTCGTTGGAAGTCAGCCAGTATTTAGGCCCCAGCTTTCCAATAGGGGCAATGCCAAGTATTCCAATGTACGAAGTACGGAGTAAGGAACTCTCTATTTTCCGTAATCTCGCAAGGTTCAAACTTTGTTCATAACATCTGATTGTCTCAAACATCCGCCGCATCAATCTTCAACAACCCTTTCTTCCACCAATTCTCCTCCTCTTCTACAGCCGCTATGCGACTCTTCGCCTGCCGGAATCCATGCCCTTCTCCATGGAAGACCACCAACTTAGATTCACGGCCAGCCTTTGTCATCATTTCGACCATTTCCTCTGCCTGGTTCAGAGGAACGACTGGATCCTCGTCTCCTTGAAGCAGCAACAACGGCGCAGTGATTTTATCTGCCTTGAAACAGGGGCTGCGTTCGCGGAAAATACGATTTTTCTCGTCTTCGTCTGCACCCGGATCAAACAGCAAGGCAAATGCGTAATGGCTCTCGAACTTATGAGTATCCTCACAGAGAGCCTTAACATTGCCTATCCCGTACAGAGAATTGCCACCGGCAAAGAGATTGGAGTAGTCACAAAGAGCTTGGAGTACAATGTATCCGCCCGAACTTTGGCCGCGAATGCCGACTTTGTTTCGGTCGATTCGGCCAGTGGATGCTAGGTATGACACACAGCTAGCAGCATCTGCTGTATCAAGGATTCCTAATCATGTTAAGTCAGTATTAGGCGGGGATTGAATGAATCTACCACTGAGAGGGGTGGGATTCTTACCCCATTGCCCATTCAAATCATCCCGGTACGCTCTGCCATATCCGGAGCTACCTCCATAGTTTACCCAAACAACAGCATAACCTCGAGAAGTCCAGTATTGGTCCGTGATATTCAGGCCAGCTCCGGTTTGGGACGTTGGTCCACCATGGACACAGACGATCAAGGGTGGCAGTGCTCCAGAGGGTGACTGATAATCTGGGTTCTGAGGTTCGTAGAAGATGGCATGTGCCACTCCTTCTAAGTTCTCACCGTGGACTCTTGGGAAAGACAAATGCTCTGGTTTTGAAACAAGAGAATCTGGCATGGGGAGCTCGGAAGCTACCTTGAGTGCATCGAGCTTGACGGTGTCGGCGAGGTCCAATGTAAAAACAGTGTTGAAGCTTGTTTCGCTAGAACCAAGAAGGGCTATTTTCGTATCTGAGAGGGGATTATCTGCCAGAATAACCGTGTCTGTCACTGGCAGATTCAGGTCTTGCCAGGAGTCGTTCGACAGATCTATCAGTATAAAGCTCCATCGAGCATTCTTTGTGTACGACGCAATCATTGAAGTTGGAGTCAGACACACGTACGTGCAGCTGTTAAAGGAGAGTATAGGTCAGCGATCAAATCAACAGCCGTTTGGTCGAGTCAAAACCAAACTTACTTTCCTAGAAACCAGTCCGGCTGGGAAAATTCCACTTCTTCCAAGCCATGCAGAGCCATCCGTTCGCATTTCAAAGTGTCAACGTGAGACCGATAGAGCTGCCAATACCCCGAGCAATCGCTTGTGAAGTACAATGTGTTATCAAAGCCCCATCGTGGCTGGCTAACACTTTCTTTCTGAGGCACACCAGACACATGGTGGACGTCTGTGACCTGGCCATCTTTCCATTTAGCCACATACAGGCGGGCTCCTGTCCATGGCATATCTGGATGAGACCACTGGGTCCAGCATATCCTGCTGCCATCAGGGGAAAAATGAGCAGCACTGTAGAAGTCGTCGCCAGAGGCGACATTGACTATCTCTTTGGATTGCACGTTGACCGCGACGAGTCGGTTCCGAACTTCCGAGGGCAAGGGCTTGGAGTGGTCTTCTTCGATCGCCAAGATCCACCCGGAATCTGCCTGGCCATCTGACAAAGAGCCAGTGGCGGAGGTGGGCGCATAGCGGATCGCAGTGCTTGTCTTGGTGATCTGCTCAACATGACCTGTGGAGGGATCAAGTTTATGCAGATCCTGTGTCTGACGATCAGAAAAGACGACATGTCCGTTGAAAACGATCATTGATGCACCGCCATATTCATGAATTTTGGTGCCAGCGTCATACCTAGTGAATCATCATTAGAGCTAGGTTCATACATGGCTGGATCTCAAGTATGTACTTGGCCGGTAAGATATCGCGTCCTTCACGGCCAGCGTATTCAACAACACAGCCTCGTCCCTGCTCTTTTGGTCGATCCTCGATGACATAAATCTTTCCCTTGGATGTCTGAAGAGGTCATTAAAACGTTGCAATATGAGCGATCTTGATATTCATTTAACATACCGCGATGGATTCAAACTGAACACCGTCAGCGCCAAGCAAGGTAGAGCTGATCGGGCTCTTCCATTGGCCGAACGGAGCTGTGACGGGAGTACCCATAGAGATTGTAGCAATCGAATTATTTTGCTGGAATGGTCGAGTCGATACTCTTGAGAAAGGATATTGGTATAGATGTTGGTAGCGTTGGGAGGTGAGATTTGAAAAAGAAAATCTACCCCGCAGAGACTGCAAGATTGGTGCTGACCGAGTGTCAGCTGAGTTCAATTGAAACGAGCAATCAGAATGCTAGTTCAAACGTCCAATGTAAAAGTAGAGCAATTAAGGTATGATTACTTGACTAACCTCTCCCTAACATCGCTAATATCCTTTCGGGTGTACGAAGTATTCTTAGTGCATATCTGCCGCCATAGTTGACCAATTCGTGGCAGCCGGCACTCCGCCCATGATATTTGTGGTAAGTTCATCAAGTTCATAACCACCTCCGACTACGCCGACAACAATGACGCCGACTACGTACCCATTCGAGTACGTAGTCACCCTACGGCTTCGACAGCCCCCTCTACAGGGAAATCGGTCACTTAGGCGGGCATGTACAGTGACTGACTGTTCATAAGTTTTAACACCCCACCTACATTTATTTACATAGGCGGGATATGGGTGGGGCCATAGGGGTGTTAAAACCTATGAACAGTCACTGTAACTAGATCCTTGGATTTAATTTAAGAAAAGGCACTTACTACTTGGGTTTAAACCCTAGATAGTGTATACATTTCACATACCCCAAAGATGGTTGAAGGTGCTGCTAATTCTATCTTAAAAAGGGCTAGTAAAGATCGGGTTGTTGGCTACAACTAGGTCCGGGTCCATCCATCAGTCAAAAAGTTCAAACCTCAAACTAGGAGTTCGGTCAGGACCCAGATCCAAGTCCAGGTCACGGTTGTAACGAGGTCTCTTAAGTGAACGAAGATGAGTAGTGTCAGACCGGAATCTGACCCGCCTCTCCTTGGCCGCGACTCCTCCTATAGACTCTAATAGATGGCTCCCAGAAGCTAGAGCAACCTGGCAACTACTACAGAAGATTTAAATTGATACTAAGGCGATGAAATTTACACTCTATACGATAGAAAAATTAACAAAGCGGGTGAATTAGAAGAAAGTTACAAATATAAGTTAGGAGGAAGAACCCCTCCGACGGAGGCGGTATGAAAACTGAATGAATGCATAGAAAAAAAACCGAATCCTCCTCTTAAGCAGTCCTCTTTGCTTAGATAGGTACATCGGGACGCGTAACGAGATCGGTCAGGAGCGCTAGAAGAGCATTGATCGCCTTAATCTGAGCTTGGTCTAGGCGAGTTTGGGTTACATTCAGCGCGCCAAGGGGTTGTGAAAGGGCACTCTGGTGACGGTGGGCTGCGGTCAGATTCTGCATTGTTAAGTTGATGTATCCGGATAGAGTGGTCAGTACTGCAGCGGATCGGGTCCCATCTGTCCCCTGGGCCTGGGTGATGTAGGCCTGTAAAAGGTTCATGGTGTCGATTGCTGTTTGTAGATAGGTCTCGAGCGACTCATGCGATTGTTGAACACGCTGACGGGCTCGCTCTACCTCCTCTCTCAGCCTTGCGGACTGAGTAATGTTTTGCTGTATCCATGGATGGGTATCAAATCTTGTAAGACTTGTGGTGGGGCTGGGGCACCGGCCTGCGCTTGTCGGTTGGCGTCAGGGCTCAAGGGCGAACGTCGATTTGAAGAAGAGGTATTGAAGAGATAATTGGTCTTTTAATACGGTGCCAAAACCATTGAGAAAGTTCTGGAGTGGCAGACTAGTCATTGGGATCTGTACCGGTTCGAAAAGACCGAGCTTTCTACCTAGGTCACTATATGTACCATATTTCCTCTGCCACGGCTTTCCTATTCTAGGTTCCTATCCTAGGTGCCGCATTAAGTGAGATGAAGCCAGAGTGAGGGAAAGGTGAGATGAAGCCAGAGTGAGGGAAAAGTGAGATGAAGCCAGAGTGAGGGAAAAGTGAGAAAAAGATATTCAACTACGGCTTTTCTATGTTGCGTAGTGACACAAAAGTCTTCGCGTAGACAGACAGACTCATAGGTATATATTATATCTCTCGTTTCTTTCCTTCCTCTTTCTCATCCTCAATCCCTTTCTCTGCCTTATCAGCTTATCGTGTTTCCCACTTCCGCTTCCACTTTCAACGCGAGAACGCGACTAAAACTACATTTCGCGACTCAATGTGATGCAACCATGATTCAGGGTGCCACGATGCTACTATGATGTCCACACCGTCATCCTCCACGCGTCTTCCCCCGACCTCCCCGCAGGTCACTGCCTCGGTGGTGAAGTTTCGCTGCCTGTACACTCACGACCTACGCCGCAAGTCCAAACGATGGCACGATGGCTACCTACGATATCATAAATTCAACAAACGTGTCATGGTCTACGATGACCAAGGAAATTTCATCGGCGACCACCACTGGCGATCTTCCGACGAAGTGCAGGATGGTGACGAAATGGAGTTGGACAAGGGAGTCTTGATTGAGGTGACCGAGAACATGGGAACCACGGAGACGGACATCACCACACTCTACGAAAAGAAGAAATCTAGCCAGGGATCGCCACAGACCAAAGACCCGGTGTCCCAAGTCCCCCGCACCTCTACCTATACCCCAGCCTCCACTTCCGCCTCCACGCCTCTTCGTTCCTCTGCTTCGTCCCAGTCATTTCGCTCTCTTAACGATTTGCTAGGCATTAAAAGAACTCCAATTGGGCATTTAGTGTCTCCATACGAGCAAAGAAATCCTCCGCAGTCAGCCTCTAGCATTCAGGAACCTGAACGCGCACTGAAGCGACAGAAAACATCCTCGGTGGTGAATCGAAGCGCCGAGAAAGGCTCACACGCCCAGAGCGAGGTCATTGATTTGACCGATCCAACCGATTCAACTCGGGGACTCTCCGCGAAGCAAAGGTCAAATCAAGTGGCAAAAGAACTACCTAGAGCCGGGGGTGATTCTTCGGCTGATATACTCCCGGCAAATGGTGAGCAGAGGTCGACAGCTCATTCAAAACAAACTCGGCCACAGAGACCCAACCCTCCTTCACTCTCAACGGTATCCGCTTTAACTGCATCTGAATCAACCTTCAGTCTACCGACACCGGAGGAGGTAGTCCGCACAGCTACCAAGGGTATCCAACCAACAAGACCCCTCGGTCCCTCATCGAAAGGTTCCCTTCCCACTATACCCGCAGAAACAGAGATCCCCGGGTCTCGACACAACTTGCCCGTGGATCAAACCTTAATCAATCGCGAAACTCAGTCGAGAGCTGTTTCACATCCCATGCCACCACAGAGGTCTGAGCCACCGACGGTCCCAAGAAGCTCTCTTCCAATTGCACCCAAACAGCCGTCTGCTGGTCGATTTACACCACAGCCCCCAGTGCGTGTACTCAACAATTATGTGAAACCTATCGAAACTGCGAACAATCAAGCTCCGGCTAACATTCCAGCTCCGGCTGACGTTTTGTCTTCGGCCAATGTTCCACTCCCGGTCAATGTTCCACCTCCAGTCAATGTTCCACCTCCAGTCAATGTTCCACCTCCGGTCAATGTTTCACCCCCAGTCAATGTTGCACCCACGGCCAATATCTCACCTTCAACGAAAATGCCACCTCCATCACGTCCATCCTCAGTACTGCGCCCTGGGGCACCTACAACGGCTCTACGCATGGGAACCGGAAAGCCACGCCGGAAACTGATGTACAGCGCTTTGTTACCCGGCACTTCACGAACTCCATCACCAGTGGCCTCAGATACACCGCCTGATAGTGCAACTCGTGAAACCGCCACAAATAACCCGGAGCAACCGTTAGTATGTACTCACCCATTGATCAAGATTATGACACTGATTTTCCTGTAGTCTAGCCGCCGCTCCAGGTGATTCCTCAACAAACGAAGAGTTTATGCCCTCAAACTCGACACAATTCATATTTGATGAGATGATAGATGGATCGGGCTTCAAATCGCCCTCCACGATCAAAAGGCTAACCGGGAAAAGATCTCTCCATTCGCCCTTGCGCAAATCGATATCTGACCCGACTGCATTGACTGCCCGCAAAGTCCGAGCAGGAGGATCATTACATGCAGCCGGCAAGAAAAACGAGCCCAAGGAGCAAGGCCCTTGGACATCCGAGGCATTGGATTTGTTTGACTTCTGGCCTGCTGGACGACCAAAACCAAACCAATGAGATACATACCATGGCTTGTTTTAAAAGCCGTACATGGGATTCTAAGCAACAATTCGCATGGTTCAAGCTAACTCGATCACACAAAGGACAAGCCCTTTTCGAGGCTTTTGTGCCCAGCGAGGTCCACCGTCTCGTGAGAAGCAACCGCCGAATCGTCAAATCCCTCGAGCGTGCCGTTCTCGAAGCCAAGGTAGCGAGCAGCTTTGTGTGATGTTCCTGCGAGAGACAGACTATGGTTCAAAGTACCATTCACAGGTGCAAACTTTGCGAACATACTGCTTGCAATTCATGTCTTGAAACCCCACGCCATCATATCCACAGACCTCCCGCCCCTCTCCCCAATCCTTCAGAACCTATGGTGGATCTAAAGCCCTATCCGCATGAAATTTCTGCTCTCTGTTTGTCTGAAACGAACCCCCGATACCCAGAATCACCTCCGACGACCTCATTCATGACACGAAAATGTGATGGAAACAAAGATACCCATTTGACATTGATGAAAAATACATATGTACCTAGCTCATCTCAGAAATGACTGGCTGACGCCAACTTCATCTAAATCTAAACTCCCTTCTTAACCAAAACCCCAGAAATATAAGGCATAGCCGACCACTCAAAACTCCTCTCCAACTCAACACTCTCCCACCCGCCATCCACATCAGCTGCAGCCCTCAAAACCGCCTCGGTATCCCTATCCAAACAACAATCCCCAATAAACCAACTCCACCCAAGAACCTGATAGATACCCTGCACAACCCGGCCAACAATCGACCCCTTCGCCCGCCGCCAAGGGTTAACAACATGCTCCGTAACAAGCAACCGCCCACCAGGCCTAAGCATCCCATACAACTCACCCACCGTACGCTCCATCTCGGGAACCGAGCACAGAACCCGCACGCACAGGATCGTATCGAAGATGCCCGCGCGCGCGTCGGTATCGTACGCATCCACGACGCCTGTGCCCGTCTCCCGCAATGCGGGGATCAGTTCGTGAGCTGCTACGCCTGTCGACACGATGTGGTATTTCGGTGAGATGTTCTCTGCAATTGCCTTTGTGCGGATCGTGGAGTGGAGGCTTTTGCATGGCTCGGCGCCGTATAGGGCTGTTATGGCTGGTGAGGTGAGTAGTGGCATCTGTGTGCCTGTGCCTGGACCGATGTCGAGGACTATCCCTGAGGCTGTGCGGAGGATTGGGGGGATTAGAGCTGAGGAGCCGACTGGCTCGGGGATTTCTTGGTTGTTTGGGTCGGAGCTCATTTGGCGGGGTGCTGTGGTGGTGGTTTGGTTAGGATTTGTGTTTTTCTTTATTGTTTTCTCTTTATTTTGACAGATTTTGATAGAGCTCTCTTTTTTTTTCTCCGTTGATTTCGTAGAGATTGCTGAAAGATGAGGGTTCCGCTTTGGGGTTGTTGATGATAGATATGGTGGCTGGGACTCACTCGTGAACTCGATCCAGAATCTTCCGAATGCTTCATCGCGGAGTCTCCGGGTCTGGGTAATTGGGGCAAAGAGCAGGCCATTTTGGAAGACAGCTTCGGCGCAGACTCGGATGTAGTCTGTCGTGTTGCAGTTAGTAATGTGTTTTAGAGATACATGAATGAGAAATTGCTGTGAAGGAGGTGCAGCCCTATATCAAAGGCAGCGATATATCAGACAAAATACAGAGAGTCTTGCCAAAAGACAAAAGATGATATAAGAAACGGATACAGCATAGAGCAAATACGTAAATACAAGCGGAGTAAAAGTACATCCACCTGCATCGAATTCCATATATTGAGATCGCTAGTCGGTGTCTGTTCGGCGTCTGTACTTACGCGACATCGCCCAAGTCATGATATGGGCAGGCTCGAGCATTGCGAGCATTCGCCCGATAACCGATGGGAGGGCTTCGGTCGACATAATGATTCGGAGATGTCAAAATCCGATTTTACCAACTCCAATGAATGCTGAGAGGAGAGAATACAAGAGAAGGTTTATTTAGTTAGGGCGTGGATATCACTCACGTGACCGGACGCTTTGCGGGGACTTCGGCGTTTGAAATAAACAAGTCACATCTGTGACCTGAAGATGGTCAACGAAGAAATTACATTGTCGTTATTATTCCGAATTTATGATTGTATCGTCTCAGTTGGGCATGATAAACGCATCTTACAAAATAAAAAGTAATCAGACATAATCCAACAAAATTGAACACAGACTAATATCTGGTAGCATCCTGGTCTGGTGCAAATTGCACAAATACTTAAAAGATGATCACACCGGAAGAAAGAGCGGGGCCTATCAGTACAAAGACGACGGCATGTAGTGGTCACAGGAATTATCAACGTAAAAGGAGAATATAGGAAAAGAGCAGACTCAGATTGAGAGAAACGTTCCAGCAGGACACAATGATTGAACGAAGGACAGAGACAGAGACAATAGGAGTTGAGATCTGTGGAGTAAGGAAAGAAAAAGATCGTAGGTGAAGAGAAGGCGGAGGAGATTGGGGTGAAACTATTCAGGGAGTTTCGGAGCCCAAGAATCCAGAATCACCAAAGAGTACATAATTCAGTTGACGTCTCGGTTTTGAGGTATGAGGTATTCCACGCTCGTGTGAAAGAAGTTGAAGTTGGAAACACTATTATGAGGGTTGTTGGTTGGACAAGAGACAGAAGAAAAGGGGACTCGTCGTCATTATCTTTATAAGTGACTCGAGTCTGGGTTGAGGACCTGCCCACAAACCCTACGAACAAAGGCCAATCTCATAGGACAATGTTCAGTGATGGTGGGGTGAGTGGATGCGATTGACCCTCGGACTGTACCGACTGGTGCGAGAAAGAGAGCCAACGTCATGTTTTCCGTCGCAACAGGCACGGACGTTTTCAAGCCGGTCATGATCGTGGGTTTCGACCACATGTCTCAGATCATCGGCACTTTCTTGGCCACGAAGACTTTCGTTGTGGAGACTAGGAGATTGACCCTGCCGTCCCTTCAAGCTTGCGATGGATCCCCGAATCGAACTGGAGATGGTGCTGAGTCTTGACGACGAACGTTGGCGATCATCAGGGACTTGCAACGACGAGTTTGGTACAGGTGAACTGAGCGCCGGTGATGCACGCCCACCGAGAGTGCCGGAAGATCGCAATGACATCGCCGATGCCGCTCGTCGCTGTTGCTTGGATGCTTGCCGAGCAGTGCGGCTGTTGTAAGATGAGAACGACATTCGTGCTGTCTGACGAGAACTAGACCGGAAGCTAGGGGGGTTGAACTCGTTGATATCGTCGAGGGTGACGCTGTTATTGTCCTCGCAGTTGTCATTGGTCTCCCTCAAAAGAAGATAAGACAACGCGTTGAACCATGTCTCGTGTCTCTGGCTTGTCGTAGCCGTAAAACGAACTCGTCGGCCAGGACTGACAACCTCCAAGCTCCTGCAGTGAAGGCCCGGAGGATACGGGTTGTCATCGGCAACTACTCGAACAGCTTCGATAGGCACACTCTTGGTGCGGAGCTCACTCTTTCCGGCAGTTTGCGGGTCCTGCGTACTCCAGTACAGCGTACGGGTGTACGGGTGAACCCAGAAGTATCGTCGGTGCCGTGTTGTGGACATATCAGATGAGCCAGTCTTGCGGGTGTACTTCCACAGGAATTCACCAATCATGGTTTGAGTAATCGCCTGGATCATGCGCGGATCCGTGTTAACTCCATAGCCGCCTGGCATGGGGCTAGCGTCAGGAGCCATATTGAAACGCTCCTCGAGCTCTGACGCAAAAGACGACACTGAGGATCGTCGAGACATCTGGCTTTGACTACCTCTCCTCATTCTGGCCTGGGAAGAACCGGTTCTTGAAGAGCTAGCCCGCGCAGCATGTTCGCTTGGCGTAAGTGGGCGCTGAGAGTTCATGCGGTGTGCGGAGGCAGGTGCCAAAGGAGGCCCCATCACAGAGTTAGGAGATGGCGGAGCCACATCAGTGGGCCTCTTCTCGGCTGCCAGGATAACTTCCCGGTGATCGACAGGCAGTGGGGGATGACTGGCACCAGATGTCTGACTGGCGGCACTGGGAGGCCGACGGGAATTTGGCGTCGTCGACTTCGCAGGCTGGATTTGTGAAAGGCGAGGTCGCGTCGGGGCCTTGGGGGTCACATAAGGAGATGCAGTGGTTGTAGTGACTGCGGCAATCTCTCGTGAGTTGTCCGTCACCTGGCTGTCGGCAGATAGCGGGCGTGCTGATAGCGGGCGTGCTGATAGCGGGCGCGCTGACACACGATCCATAAGAATTTGATCTATCTGCTTAGAGGACAGGATAGTCTGAGATCCTTGGTCCATGCTCACTGAACTAGATTGTTGTCTAGCAGAGCGAGCAAGGGCATTGCCAGAGATGTCGTTCAAGGCTAGTCCGGCACCAACGAGCTGATCACTATTGGCTGTCCCAGTGAGACTACGAGTAGCGTCAGTAGGCTGGTCTTCGTGGACAATCACAGCGGCCCCTGCGGCCTTTGACTCTATCGGCTCGGTTTGAGTAGAGAAGTCCGCCACCCCTGCGGTGGCAAATGTCATAGACTTCACTGGATGAGTCTCCACAGAGCGCACAGAGGAGAATGACAACGCCGGCGCAGGGACAAGGCGAGGCCTTGGAATAACAGGCTCTGTGTATGCTGAACCGAGGGAAGAGATCGTCAAATTCGGTACCTCACGCTCACGCTCAACGTGCTTGATAACATCAACGTATTGAATCACAGGTGGTTCCGGTTCAGGGACAGTTGCTTTGACTGGCGTGGTGGACTGGGTGGTGATCGAAGAGATAGTCAATTCAGGCACCTCACGTTCACGCTCGACGTGCTTGATAACATCGACGTATTCAATCACAGGTGGTTCCGGTTCAGGAACAGTTGCTTTGACTGGCTTGGTGGACTGGGTGGTGATCGAAGAGAAGCTTGACTCTGGCACCTTACGCTCACGCTCAACGTGCTTTATCACGTCGACGTATTGAATCACAGGTGGTTCCGGTTCAGGGACAGTTGCTTTGACTGGCGTGGTGGACTGGGTGGTGATCGAAGAGATAGTCAATTCAGGCACCTCACGTTCACGCTCGACGTGCTTGATAACATCGACGTATTCAATCACAGGTGGTTCCGGTTCAGGAACAGTTGCTTTGACTGGCTTGGTGGACTGGGTGGTGATCGAAGAGAAGCTTGACTCTGGCACCTTACGCTCACGCTCAACGTGCTTTATCACGTCGACGTATTGAATCACAGGTGGTTCCGGTTCAGGAACAGTTGCTTTGACTGGCGTGGTGGACTGGGTGGTGATCGAAGAGATAGTCAATTCAGGCACCTCACGTTCACGCTCGACGTGCTTGATAACATCAACGTATTCAATCACAGGCGGCTGCGGTTCAGGGACAGTTGCTTTGACTGGCGCAGTAGATTGCGTGGTGATCGAAGAGAAGCTTGCCTCTGGCACCTTACGCTCACGCTCAACGTGCTTTATCACGTCGACGTATTGAATCACAGGTGGTTCCGGTTCAGGAACAGTTGCTTTGACTGGCGTGGTGGACTGGGTGGTGATCGAAGAGATAGTCAATTCAGGCACCTCACGTTCACGCTCGACGTGCTTGATAACATCAACGTATTCAATCACAGGCGGCTGCGGTTCAGGGACAGTTGCTTTGACTGGCGCAGTAGATTGCGTGGTGATCGAAGAGAAGCTTGCCTCTGGCACCTTACGCTCACGCTCAACGTGCTTTATCACGTCGACGTATTGAATCACAGGTGGTTCCGGTTCAGGAACAGTTGCTTTGACTGGCGTGGTGGACTGGGTGGTGATCGAAGAGATAGTCAATTCAGGCACCTCACGTTCACGCTCGACGTGCTTGATAACATCAACGTATTCAATCACAGGCGGCTGCGGTTCAGGGACAGTTGCTTTGACTGGCGCAGTAGATTGCGTGGTGATCGAAGAGAAGCTTGCCTCTGGCACCTTACGCTCACGCTCAACGTGCTTTATCACATCAACGTATTGAATCACAGGTGGTTCCGGTTCAGGAACAGTTGCTTTGACTGGCGCAGTAGATTGCGTGGTGATCGAAGAGAAGCTTGCCTCTGGCACCTCACGCTCACGCTCAACGTGCTTTATCACGTCGACGTATTGAATCACAGGTGGTTCCGGTTCAGGAACAGTTGCTTTGACTGGCGCAGTAGATTGCGTGGTGATCGAAGAGAAGCTTGCCTCTGGCACCTTACGCTCACGCTCAACGTGCTTTATCACGTCGACGTATTGAATCACAGGTGGTTCCGGTTCAGGGACAGTTGCTTTGACTGGCGTGGTGGACTGGGTGGTGATCGAAGAGATAGTCAATTCAGGCACCTCACGCTCACGCTCGACGTGCTTGATAACATCAACGTATTCAATCACAGGCTCTGCTTTGGCGATAATTGCCTGTACAGGGGCAGTGGAGTGGTTGTTGATGGAAGAGACTGTCAACTCAGGCACCTCACGCTCGCGCTCAACGTGTTTGATAACGTCAATGTATTCAATAATCGGCTCCGCTTTAGCAAGAGTTGCGTTTACAGGCGCAGTGGATTGAGTAATGATTGAAGAGAAGCTTGACTCTGGCACCTCACGCTCACGTTCAATATGCTTAATGACATCAACGTATTGAATGACAGGCGGCTGCGGTTCAGGGACAGTTGCTTTGACTGGCGCAGTAGATTGAGTGGTGATCGAAGAGAAGCTTGACTCTGGCACCTCACGCTCACGCTCAACGTGCTTTATCACATCGACGTATTGAATCACAGGTGGTTCCGGTTCAGGAACAGTTGCTTTAACTGGCTCGGTAGTTTGAGTGGTGATGGAAGAGACAGTCAATTCAGGCACCTTAAGCTCGCGTTCGACGTGCTTGATCACATCGACGTACTTGACGATAGGCTCCGGTACAGCAAGCGTTGCCTGGACAGGGACAGTGGATTGATTATGAATAGAAGAGAATGTCAACTCAGGGATCTCGCGCTCACGCTCGACGTGTTTGATTACGTCGACGTATTTGATAATAGGTTCTGGCTCAGGAACAATTGCCTGGATTGCCTGGACAGGTACTGTCGACTGAGCGGCGACAGACGAGACGCTCAACTCTGGCACTTCACGCTCGTGTTCAACGTGCTTGATCACATCGACGTACTCGACGACAGGCTCTGGCACAGCAAGTGTTGCATGGACAGGGGAAGTTGATTGAGTGGTGATGGAGGAGAAGGTCAGCTCGGGCACCTCCGGCTCGCGTTCCACGTATTTGATAACATCAACATGTTTGATGATTGGCTCAGGTACGAGAACCGTTGGTTGAATGGGATGAGTGGTTTGTGATGAAATTGAAGATATCGTCATTTCCGGCACTTCCGGCGGGGGCAGCTCATGCTTCACGGGTGTAGTGGTGCCGCCGGCGATGTATGAGATGCTCAGATCAGGCCGCTTAGGTGCAGAAGGCGTAGTCTCTTGGGAAGAAACGTCTGCGATGGCCATATCTGGTAGGCCAGGAGTTTCCTTCGTTTCCTCAATAATCTCCCGGTCTGCTGTTTGAGTTGCCTGAGGTGCAGCGAGAGCATGCGGCAGAACAGCCCCTGCAGCAAGACCGGCAGCTCCAGCAATAATGCCAGCACTGATAGAAGGCGTGGGCTCCCAAGGTTCAGTCATAACACCAGAATCCACCATTGCAGGCTTAGGTGGCGCATCCACCATTGCATCCGAGGGTCTTCGTGAACCCATGCGCGGGGTCGAAGCCTGGGAGTTTAGTTCATCTTCCTCAGCGCTGTCAAACTCTGCAAGTTCAGCAAAGAGGCTCTGGCCCTCTTGAGCTGCTGGCACAGGCGCAAAGCTGGGTGCGGCGGATTCACGTGAACTCGAAGGTCGACTGGTTGATGCGAATGTAGCCTCTCCAGATGGACGAATGCGTCTTACGCTGCGTTTGGGCCTAACACGGGGTCGGGAAATGTTGATTTGACTCGGAGAATGGAACATTCTATCATATTCTTCTTCATCGGAAGATGCCGAGGCAGTGCTGTTATATGAGGTACGATCGCGAGCTTTGGCCATAATCAGAGAAGGAGGAACTCGGCGGCGAGGAGTTCTCTGTACGTTGTATTCCCTCTCGGTGAGACTTCCCGAATCGCTGCTGTCATCCGTCATGCTTTCGAGACCAGTTTGGAATGCTTCGCTTTCAGTTGCGGTTGCCCGTTCATTCGCTGTTACAAAGTCGTCTTCTGTCTCGGTAGCTGTCTGGTAGACGTGGCTAGGTCCACCAGGAGATTCCGAGTAAGGACGGCCCCTGGTAAATGACGCCTTGGTCTGGGTCTGAGTGGGACTGATTTGTCCGGCATTGTCTTCCCAATCGGTGTCTTGAAGTTCAACAAATGATTTCTCTTTACGGCCTGCGCCCAGAAGATCTGGGCGGGGAGGCTTTCGGGCTGAATCCATCTTTGTCTTCTGGCGTTTGCTGGTTCCGTTTGGTACAGTGCTTTCACGGCGGCGTTGCTCAACTTCGTCCCGAGCATCTTGCAGCATACGCTTGAGCTCGATCTTCTCCGTTTTCTCGCGGTGAATTGTGCTCTTGAGGTTTTGGATCATGCGATGAGCATGGCCGAGCGAGCTCTTCAAGGTTTCCGATTCAAGGTGGCCATGTCGAGGAGTGAACTTGTTGGGGGATGCTGGTGGAGAGCTTTCAGGCGTGGTATTATCGGGCTCATTGTCCTCATTGTCATATGAAACATCCCTCGAGCCTTGGTTTTCATGCTCCCGGAGCCTCATGGCAACTGCCTTGGCGAGTTCTTGATTTTGAGAAGTCATTTCCATCAGCTTCTTTTGGAGGGCGGACTTTTCTGCATCGCCAGAAGTCAGATTTCGCCTTAATAAGTGGATTTCCGCATCATTCGCCTTCTGCGTGAGGCTCTGATCCTCAAGTAATCTCGCATTGGCTTGCTTCTGCTCTTCCAGTTCTCTTTCCATGGCGGTCTTTTCTGCATTTGACAATGTGATGATGCCGTTGAGCCGTTGTTCACGTTCCGCAGCGTCCCTCGCAGCTGCCATCAACTCATGGGCCTGAGTCTCCAGTGTCCAGTTCTCATCTTTGTAGCGTTGCTCACTATCATCGAGCGCCCGGATTCTTTGTGCATACCCCTCTGCCTCCAACTCAAGTCGCGATTTTTCTAGATTGACAAATTTGAGAGTCTCATCGCGTTCTGCGAGAAGACCCTGTAGTTGGCGGACCTGGGCCAAAAGTGAAGTGGAGATCTCAGTTGCAAATTCGATATCGTGGACACGGTTCGATGGTTGGTTGCGCTGCTTGCGAGATGGAACGCTGACTTTGCTAGGGGAATTCGTGGATTGGCTGGCAAACAAAGCAGCACTTAGGGGTGACTATCAGAACTCGATGTTAGTCCGGCTATAAATCGGGCCAGAGTCAGATGTAAGACCCAGGCAGTACCTTTTGATCGAAAGATGGAGTCCCAAGCTGAGCATCCTCCGAGCCTCCAGCAAGACGTTTGGGTGCCAAAAATGCACGTGCCGACTCACGGCCGATCTCATTGTACTCCTTCTCCAAATCTGCAAGTTTGCGTCGCAGTTCCGGGCCCATCTCTCCCTCATTCTGCTCCTGCTCGACCTCCTTCAACTGCTCTGATAGCTGCCGCTGCTGATCGATAAGGGCCGTTCCTAGCCTTGAAGCCTCCTCCAGTCGACGCTCGGTTTCCGCCAAGTGGGCCTCGAGCGCCCTTTTGGCTTGTGCTGGTGAAGACGCATTTAGGCTGTATAGCTGTGTATCGAAGCGATTGGAGTCGCGAGGGACAGCTGGCCTTCCGGAATTCGCAACGAAGGGGTCTTCCATGGATGCAAATGACCCGGTGGCCTCAGCGTTGGATGCGGTCATTATTTGGAAATCGGGGGCCTCGAACGGCATCTATATCCTTTTAATGGCGAGGACACAGTTACCGTCGAGAAATCGGGGGCTCGTGGGTTGATCTTTGTTCTAATTCTAGGCCGCGGGCATCATCCGAATTACCGCACAGGGTCAAAACTGTTGTCGCAAGATGATTTCCGTTGAGATCGTTGCCGAGCCGACCAGCGACCAAAGGTTGTTCGAGGGTTTTCGAGATTACCACACGCTAATTTCGATGCGATGGGCGTGGAACGGCACACCGTTGAAAGATGTGGAAGTGAAGAGGGGGGGGGGGATCCCACACGATTAAAACAACAAACACCGAGGACCTTTGGACGAATCAGTGAGCTCCCAGTGAGATTGGCCACCTGGGCAGACACGCGCGTAGAGATGCAACTAACCACAACAAAGTGCTCGGGATCTGCAGGACCTTTGGAATCGGCCTCAGTGGTATGGATAAAGGAAAGACAAAATAACAAAGGGAAAACAAAAGGACAGCTAACTAAAAAAAAAAGAAGGGAAAAAAAAGAAAGGGAGCGTAGGGAGTGATTGGACAGGTCGAGTTTGAATGACTCGGCGGGGGAGAAAAGGGAAGAGAAGAACGAGAGTGAGCGAACGTGCTGTTGTGTTATTGCCAAATGGCGCCGGTGTTTGAGGTTCACGATCGATGATCACCCCAGATGGGGAGAGACGAATTTACAATACTAGGCTACATTCTTGATTCTAAATTGGGACCTGTAAATTGACTATAAAACTGTAAAAACCATATGAAGTGCTGATTCGACAGGTTCCTGCGTGTGTTTTGCTGCGATTTTCGCTATCAAACGCGTCCCAAAGTGAGGAGGTGCCCCAGGTGGTTTGTAATGTTTGCATTTGTCAGCTTAGTCATTTCTCGATGGTCCGTTCGATATGGAATCTTGGAAATGCGCGCATCTTTGCAATCTTTACATCTCACACAATTGCTTGAACACCTACGACTAATCTTCGATAATACCCAACACACAATATGGGCGAAGAAACTGAGGTGGCAGAGATCGTGCCCCAAGTCGCTTTCAAGAAGCGCTCCAAGGGAAAAGCCAACTTTCGCAAGAAGCCCGCAACGCCACCTCCTGCTTCTGACTCCGACTCCGACTTTGTATCATCCGATGACGACGAAGGACGACGGATCAAGAGGCGACGCAAGAATGCAGCTGTCACCGCATCATCCACATCAAATGCGACAAGGAAACAGCGCCCAGAAAACGAACCTATAACCGCGGTTCCCGCTCCATTGACCTCGAGCAACGACGCCACAAAGGCTTCCAACTGGTATGATGAGAACCTGAGCGAGAAGAACTTGCTAGGCACAACCCGGGAAAAACCAGTCTCTGCCTCACAGCCAGACGGAACCTATAAAGGCGCCGCCAACTATCAATCTTTCATTCAGAAGAACCCAGATGCACCGGGGAAATTTGGTCCTGTCAAAGCTGCAACCAACGTTAGAACTATCACAGTGACAGATTTCGCCCCCGATGTGTGCAAGGATTGGAAACAAACTGGCTACGTAAGTTACACCCTCGCCTCCATCTATTGATCGTGAATTGAGACTAATCCTTCTGAAAATTAGTGTGGCTTTGGAGATAGCTGTAAATATCTCCATTCTCGGGAGGCATACAAGGCAGGATGGGAGCTCGACCGTGACTGGGAAGTCAACACCAAGGGCAAGCAATTAAGTGGGCGAGTGGTTTCACAGCGAAAAGGCGCGGGCAAAATCACCGAAGAAGACGAGGATGACGACGAGGATGAATTGCTAGAGAGCATTCCATTCGCCTGTATCATCTGCTTGAAGCCCTATCAAGAACCTATCATCACCAAATGTGGTCACTATTTCTGTGAAGCATGTGCCCTACAACGGTACCGGAAAACCCCATCGTGCGCTGCCTGCGGCGAGGGAACTGGGGGTGTCTTCAACGTCGCAAAGAAGTTGAAAGCTCTTCTGGACAAGAAGCGGGAACGTGCGCGCAAGATTCGGGAGGAGGCGATTGCAAATGGGGAGGAGGTCAGCGAGGAAGAAGAGGATGATAGTGATTAGTGGGGGAAGATCTCCGTGTAGTATAATATAAACAGAAGAAGCAGAAAAAGCAGCTGGCCTGCAACACTTGTCCTCTGGCAATGTATCCAAACTTCTCTATTTTACTGTCGAGTATATCCATTACCTTGACATTAATCGCTCACATTTGTTTTCTAATATACGGAGTAGACGGGGATAGTATGCCAATCAGCCAATGCCAAGACTCTGTAATTTATAAAATAGAAGAGAACGTATCTTCTTTGGTCTAGTAATCCTTTGTAGTAAGAGTGGGCGTTGAGACATTATATAGGCTTCTATTTAGGGCCCGTGTACGCCGTACCAGGGGCGTGACCATTCACGGTATTAAGCCATGGAGATTTCCTGTTCAAGGACTCCGTACAACAATAATATCACATGGAATGCAAATATTCAGTAGAGTCAATATCCCATTACTCAGCTTCAGGACATACCTAGGTACATGAAAAGATCGTTGTACCCTCGTTATACAACATGACGCGCAACCATAAAAATGCGCCCGGGCCTTCTGAATGGCTCGGTTGAACACTCTTCCCGCTCGAGTTAATTAAGACTCGCTAGCGTCAAGTGCAAACTGCCTTGTTGTACAACATGCTTCGTACTCCGTACGGAGTACGGAGTATGGTGTAACACAATCACTTGCACTCCCTTGACTTATATTTATCGAAGCTCTAATCTCACCCAAAAACGTCATTACACACATAATCCAGTTGGTCGGCTAATCCGCCTGGTTCTGTCACAGCCACTAAACCCACATTTAGGACCCTGAATCTTTCCAAGCACCTATGAAATCATACCAAGGAATGCGAACTGTTTCCATGTCTGCCTCCAGAAGGCTGTGCATTGACAGAAAAGAAAGACGGCAGCCGACCAAAGGCTTATTCTAAACAATTTAAAACTTGCAACCCAGAACCAAGCGAGATAACCCCCCACTTAGATACGAGCCTACCGAAGAATAGTCTAGTGGACTGACTGCGTACGTACCTTTCCCATTGTAGTGTCACTTTCCCTATTTTAGAAATGATTTAGATTAGTCTTGAACTTAACGCCACGTGCATTCCGTGGTACGGGAAAAAAAACATGCGTGTCGTATTCCAGAGATATCAAAGGCAGGTTAAATGTCGTTGCCTACGATCTATCCAGTAGAGTACGGGGTATATCCGTATGTTCCAGCTCTGGAGGTCCAGGTTGTAAATGGCCATTGTCTCTGTTAAGCCTTGATCCCGTCCATCCATGGCTCAAGCGTAAACTTTACGTTAAACAGGGGGTAAGCGTGCCCACCTGGGCAGATGCCCCCCTAAGCCAAGCTTTTTACCTTCCTCCAACCAAAAATCAAAACAGAAAAAAATCGGAAAAGCCAAACGCCCCCTTCACAAACATTTGAACTAAGGGCGGTTAACCCCCTGAGGCAACCCAAGTGGCCAATGATATGAACATGACATCGACGTCGAGTCCAGTCCCCTCTTCCCATTTCTACTTTAATATTTCCTAGTTTCCACTTTGTACGGGGTACTTCTTTTTTTAAATCCCTACCTCGGCCCCCTCTCTCCTTCTCTCTCTCTCTCTCCTTCCATTATCTCCACACCTTCGTTTTGTATTTTTTGGTCTTGATTGCCTTCAGGGGCTCTCCATACTTTAACATTGGCCCTCCTTTTTCACATCACTATCACTATACATCGGAAACTGTATATATAAATGGCTTACTAGTGAATCCTTTACCTGAAGCTCACACCTACGGGTACCTCTCCGCAAAGTCCGGAGTTTGATCCCTCTTCATCCTTCATAATGAAAGGTGGACTCCGTCTCGCGGGGTTCTGCGTCTCATGTCTCATTCTCTTCTCACTATATCTACTCGAGGCGCATCTACAAGACATTTGCAATCAATATCGCGCTGGCGCATACGTGATCAATTGGTTAGATCGCAGTAACACCCCCCCAAGCCCACATGGCGAGATCACACCGGGTGATAAGGTGATTGTGATGGCCAAGCTGGAAGAAGAGCCTACCGACTGGGTAGAACAAGAGCTTCCCGAGTGAGTGCTTTGGATCTCTAACGTTCCATTGAAGATTGCATGACTAATTGGCTTTCGTTCTCTCTAAACAGCTGGCAACGAGCAATCTACACCGTCAACCCCTCGCCCGAGACACGACTTAATCCCGACGTTCTTACGACCCAATTCAACAAAGGCCACGAGTCCATGGCCTACTTTACATATATAATCGAGAACTACCACAACCTTCCCTCGACCATCGTCTTTCTCCACGCCCACCGGTCAGGATTCCTCATGGCCTGGCACGTCGATGCGCCACTCCACGACAATGTCATAGCCATGCGCAACCTCCGACTTGATTTCGTCCAGCAGAACGGCTATGTGAATCTCCGCTGCAATTGGAATCCGGGCTGCAAGGACAGCCACCGCTCCAATACTCATGTCACCGAGCAGATCTGGCTGGATATCTTCGACGGCACGAGTACACCTCCCTTGAATACTTCCTCGTCCACGGAGCAGGAATTCGCGGGCCAAAAATATCTTCTCAAACCTGCCAAGATTGGTGCCGCATGCTGCGCGCAATTTGCGCTCTCGCGAGATCAGGTTCGGAAGCGACCGCTGGAGGATTATATCAAGTTCCGGCAATGGATTATCGATACGGAACTTAGCGACGCTTCATCGGGGAGGGTAATGGAGTTTTTGTGGCATATCATTTTCGGTATGGAAGGGGTATAGTAAGTTATGGTCGATCACATTTCCTTGTGCTGAACTAACCGTCTTTCGCAGTTGTCCCAATGAACAATTATGTTATTGTCAGGTCTACGGACAGTGTTGATTCCGCTCTCGGAGCATTCATTCCCAAATCCAGCGACACCTCCCAGGCTGGTGTTTACATATCGTGGGAGTGGCGTTACCTTTTCGCCTCCCCTGCACACACACACTTTTTCGTCATTATGTGCAAATGATCTTTGTGACGGTACAAACACCCGGAACTCAGTCACCTGTTTTGTCGCATACAACTTGGAGTTTTCAGGGGCCCTTCTTTTGTTATAAATTTATAATTGCGTTCAAGCGCCGAGGACAACGCTCCTCATAGACATACTCCGTCACTTTTTATTGATGGACTTCTGGACAATCAGAGTACATGAAATGTATATTCTTACCATTGTCTTTCTCACTATTCATGCATACATTTCTTACTATTCACATTTTTACATGTTCGACCTCCATCAAAAGCGACTCCATGCTCTAATAACCTTCAGGTGCCCACAATATGTGATCATTCAAACTCGATATTTTTGATTCTATCAACAAGCTCCTGCCAATACCAAGACAGCTACTAATCACTAAAGACCGTCCGAATGCACTGCTTCAGATACCTATCCACCCTCTGCACATCACCAAGACAAGCAACAACGCCAACATACCCATCAGGCCTGACCACCACCAATGCTCCCTGTGCCGGGTCTACACCATAGATACTATACGCATCATCCAAAGCCGACCCATCATAGAAGCGCATCTCAGCCTGCTGCTTCACACACGTCGGCACATCGTTCCACTCAAAGGACCGATGCAGCTGGGGATGCAGAATTATCTGTTCAATGGTCGACTTGGGGAACTGCGCTTCTAGCAGAGTGACTGCTTTCAGTGTCTGCACAGAGACACTGCTTTGATCAAGAAGATCGGTCGACGTGAGACATAAGATGCGGAACCGGCCAGTGGAGGGGATATCTGTGGGGTTATTTGGTTAGATATGATGCTCCCACACAAAAACTATCCATCCGGTTTGACGTACCATCATGAATATCCCGCTGCCACCCATCAGCATGTCGCAGCAATAGAACATTGAGCAATCTCCGGCCTGGTCTCAGGATGCCGGATAGATAGTCTGTTCCTGTGACGGGGTTTGGCCCCTTGCTCTTGATACCATCTTCTAGCTCATCGCGGATAACTAGCATGTTCTCCGGGTATTCCACGCCACACCCGCTGGTAAAGCCATTGCCGAGCTTGAAAGCTTGTTGGAACTCTTCTTGGGTTAGCCCTTCTGTTGCGCCCATTTGGCCGGAGAACATGGTAGAGAACTTCCGGTCGAAGTCGATGAGCTGCTGGGCTATTTCGTGGCGTTCTGTCTGGTATGTCTTGAGTAATGAGGATGGGCTATTGAGAACTGTTGATTCTGGTGCAAGCCCGTTGATGTGATACATGAGTTTCCAAGCTAGGTTGTAGGAGTCCATCATCGAGACGTTCATTCCTTGGCCAGCCTGGTGGAATATAAGTCAGTAATGTCCTCGAGGGAAGAGTTGCTGTGGAGACTTACTTTCGGGCTATGTGTATGGCAAGCTACAAATACCATTCATGTTAGTTCGAGGCCATACACTCCCTTCAAAGAAAACTTACCATCTCCAGCAATGAAAACCCTTGCAACCCCCTTTGAATCATTCACAATGAACTCTGGCGAGACACGCTGGCCAATTTGATACGCAGCCCACCAGTCGACAGCATTCTCCTTGGGCCGCAGAGAGTATGGCTTGATCGCATCGGCAGCTTGTTTCAGAATCCCATCGAGGGTAATCTTATTTCTCCGCTGCCGAGCATCCTCGGCCTTAACACCCTCTACTCCATTGGGCATTTGATCACTCTCAGGAGCGACATCCTCCGGAACCTGAACATACAGGCGAGTAAGGTATTCCCCCGTAGATATCCTCTCTCTAGGGATAATCATAACAGAGCCAGCAGGAGAATGAATAGCGCAGCGACGACGAATATCCGGGAAATCCGTCTCAGCAACCATATCAACCACACCCCAGATATGATCCAAAGACTCTCCTTCCAGCCGCAAACCCATACACTGCCGAACAACCGAATGCGCCCCATCCGCACCAACAAGATGCTTCGTGCGCACTTTCTTCTCAACACCATCCGTAGCCATAGTCACAAGCACCGGGAACTCCACATCACCCTCTTCGTCAATCTTGACATCGACAACTTTCG